GATCCGGCCCCTCTTCACACAGTCCAGTTAATCGCGGGATGTGCCTCCAACTAGTCAGGGTCCGAGCCCTCCCCACCTGATCTGCCAAAGTGCCAAGCAAGCCAATCCAAAAATAAATCCTTGCCTTCCAAGAGCCTCATGAATCGAACTCACGAGTTCTGATCTGCCAGGTTTGACAGAGCCCGTCCTTTGCCAGTGGAGAAGTGCCCCGGGGGCAGTATACATATATTTATATATATTTGAGAGAGAGAGAGAGAGAGAGAGAGAGTTCTATGAATGCGGCAAATTGAGTTAACGGCGTTTGGTTCACTTACGATGCCCGTCAATTTAAATGAGTCGGGAAAAATCTTTAATAACCAACTTGAAATTTCGCACAAACTTTGATGGCCATTGGTGAAATTAACTCAATCAAATCAGAATTAGATTTATACAAGAAACGAATCGAATCAAATCAGCAATTACAATGAGTCTTACAGTTATACCCTCACATGCTATATTTCTTCCTCACTCTCCTTTCCTTAAACCCCTGCTTTTCCCTTCTACTACTTTCTCCTCTTCAAACGCGAATCTCAGAAGATCAGGTCTCTTTCTCTTTCCCTATTATGTATTTCTTCTTGCATTCTTCAAATGTACAGGCCAACAATTCAAGGCTTTATTTTATTTTCCTTTGCTAAACTCTTCAACTGATCTCAATCTTCACTCAGGAAGAGGGAAAATGATAAGATAAAAGAAATAGCGATCTGATCTTATCTGTGATGTTTAAAGTAATGCAAAAATATATGTTAAAAGCTTTCAATTGATACTGTAACACGCTCACTCTTTCATACATAAATATAAATATCTGTAGTTAAGCATCAATTTTCGTTTTTCGGTTCAAAGATCTTCTAGAGAAACCAATATTTTAAAACTGATGAAAGGAAAATAAAGTAAACCCAGGATTTTGTTTATCATAATTCTTGTACGAAAAATACTGAAAAAGGCAATTAATTGCATATTGTATTTCTCACTTCTTTACCTATATGCATTTGGATATTTGGTAAGCACTATTTCTCTTTTGATTCTAGCAGTTTGTTGTGCAAATGAGTTGATTGAATCTGTAAAGGTTTGTTTTGCAGGAAGAAAGAGTTTACCTTTGCACTATCAAAACCAAGGAGCGAGCGTGGAATCTTTGGATTTGAAGGTTCAACATCCAGAAATGAGTAATAATCTTTACCCGGATATAGAGCCATACAATACTGGCTATTTGAAGGTTTCAGATATCCACACCCTTTTTTATGAGCAGTCGGGAAATCCAAGTGGATATGTGAGTTATCCTTTTCTGTTTAAGAGCATTTAAGCTCTATAATTACTTTTATTATAAGCTCATACATAAGTGTATTTACATTAGTTCGTCAAATTGCTGCTTGTCGCAAATTTGTCTGATGAGATTTGTAGATTTGTTATGTAGAAATGGAAGTATGTACTTGCTTAGCCAATTTGTAACATGGTATTGATTTGTGAAATGATATTACACTATCCAACCTTAAACTACGGTATAAATAGACTTTTCATGCAAGATGATATTTTTCATCCTTGTTTGTTATGCTTAAGGAACTTTCTCTTGTTTCTTGTCCGATTGTAGAATAGGTTTGATAGGGGTCACTTAAGAGTAAATATTCGAGTCAAGGACTGAAATTTCTGCCAATAATTTCTTTTTCCCCATCCCACCATAGAAAAGCCTATGATAGAGTGCTCTCGGAATTGCTATGGTGGGAGTTAGATAGGTCTGGTACATCTATCAATATCACTAATAATATATATGATGTACTGTCACTAGTTAGATGTATGACTTGTATGAAGGACCTGGTTATGCTTTAGTACTTAATTCATGTGCTATGCAGTTTATCGCAGCCTTCTAAATATATTCTAAATGATGCAGCCAATAGTTTTTATCCATGGAGGCCCAGGAGGTGGAACTTCACCTAGCAACCGAAAATTTTTTGATCCCGAGTTTTACAGGATCATTCTATTTGATCAGGTTAACTATCTGAACTTATTTTCTTATGATGAAGCTATGTTCTAATGCATGTTTTTCACAAAAAATAAAAATAAAAAAATTCTTTCCAGCGAGGTGCAGGCAAAAGTACACCGCATGCATGCTTGGTGGAGAACACGACATGGAACCTTATTGAGGACATTGAAAAGCTAAGGGAACACTTAGAAATTCCAGAATGGCAGGTTGACTCTATTCTGCATGAGAAGTTTTGTAATTCTATTTTTTATGTCTCTTATTATTGTTATTTTGTAGATTTTTGGTGGTTCATGGGGAAGCACTCTTGCTCTTGCCTACAGCCAATCATATCCGGACAAGGTTTTTCATTTCTTCTTGTTCCATCTTTTCTCTTAAAAGAGTTTATAACTCTTTATCTTTCCAATTAATTGAGTTTGATCATCTTTTTTCAAGGTCACAGGCCTGGTCCTGAGAGGGATTTTTCTGTTGCGCCAGAAAGAGATAGACTGGTTTTATGAAGGTGGTGCAGCTACAATATTCCCTGATGGTAATTTTCTTTCTCTCTCTCTCTCTCTCTCTCTCTCTCTCTTCTTTGAAGATATCCCTAGCTACTCACAGGTTGTTTCCACTGAAAGGACTGGTCAATTAAGTTTGAATGGCAGAAAATCAAGGAGCTATATTAGATTAGAGTTATCAGCTTACATTGTCCTAAAACCCTTGTTCAATGAAATTTTTACCGTCTCTACGGGTCTCTGATTTTTCTGTGGAACAGGAATAATTGCAATATGTGTATTCGGTGGAATGTAAATGAACCGAAATGGATAACGATTTGGTATGGCTGTAATACTGAAATGGAAAAAAAAATAAAATTGAACAACAAGATTTGATGATTCGAGATGCCCATCTCTCTCTCAATTTCACCCCCAAATTCTGCTTGCTTAAATAAAACTTCCCTCCCTCTATTTATAGATGAAAGCCTGTACAGTTTAATATATTAAATCCCCATAATACTCCCAATGCTAATGACGATTTAACTAGCTATTAATCTGGGATTCTATCAATCTCCTTTGTTCTAATCAGCTTGATTTGTAGTTGTTAAATCTGTATTTAAGTTGACAAAAATGTAACCTATTAGTCTCCCATGATTAAGTTGACAAATTTGTAAGAAGCTAAAATTTTTAGGTGGTAACTCCTTTTGAGTATATCTAACATGTAATTTCTACATTCTGGACCAAATCCATGTTCATGGATTTTCAATGTATCCAAAGTACTGTTTAATTGTGCAAACTCTCCTACAGTTCTATTATATTTATTATTATTCCTTGCACAGTTGAGGATGACTTATCCCTTATGAGCATGTTTGAAATGAGTTACTTTTTTTTTTCTTTTTCACTTGAAAGTGAGAAAAAAGTGATAGATTTAAAAATGTTTAAAAACAAAACTTTGAAGGTAAGGTAAACATGCTTGTAGTCTGTATAGTTACGCTGCATTCCTTAAATTCTACCTGACTGTTGTTTGCTGATGAAAATTCTTGTTTATTGGATAATTGTGTAGAAATAAGTTATTACTGAGTAAACTGATTGTGTATTTTATTTTTGCTTATTGGACTTTTATGGGGTTTTGTATCTGCGCAGCTGAGTACGCATTTCTTTTCTATTGCAGCCTGGGAGCCATTTAGAGATCTCATTCCCAAAAGTGAGAGGGGATGTTTCATTAAAGCCTATCACAAGAGGTTAAACTCAGATGACAAGGAAATACAAGTAATGTTTTACATTTATTCATTCTTTTTTGTTCATGTCTCTTTCTGATAAACTCACTCATATGTCACATCTTGCATTTGACACGCACCAGGAAAAAAGAAAAACAAACAAAAACAAACCAAAAAACAAGGAGTTATGATAAACAATGAAAAAGGAAATTTTTTTAATACTACAACAGATTTGTATTTTGGACATCTTGATATCATGAAATCTTATACCTTTTCATTTGGAGACTTGAAACCATATTGAGAATTGCTTATTATGGAGTTTTGGCCTCTTTGAGCATTTAATAAAACTTGCATTCATATCCTTTCATTTTTCATCATCCCATAAATAAGTATGTGGAAATTTCCTCGGTGCTTGTTCATTCAGGAATATGTCATGTTTATGCAGTCATTGAGTTCATATAGTTTTCAATCAGGGGAAAAAAAACTTAGGTAAAGAGTCAAAGTGGTAGGTATTATGGGAAATCAACAACCAATATTTCTCAATTGGCATGCTTTTGTCTTTTAAAGTATGTTTGAACACAGTGTTGGTCAATACTACATTATAATGAACTTTATTTTAGCTTCTCTTTCTTCTTTAATCCTACCAGTCCAGTCTAGTCTAACTGAACAAACCAAGAATATCATTGATGTATATTATTTTACAATTTTTTTGGGCATTTTGGCGATTCTTTGTTTTCCTAAATTCGTTAGATGTTCAGTATGCAGCTTCTAGGGCATGGACAAAATGGGAAATGATGACTGCCCATCTTATTCCAAATGAAGTTACCTTAAAGAAAGGGGATGACGATGAATTTTGCTTGGTAAGTACAGTAACCAGGAGTGGCTTTTTCATAAATTTGTATTAAAGAAATATGTGTGTGATAAAAAATTAAACATATTTTATAACTGTTTGTCCCGTGTCATTTTCCATAATCCTATGAAAGGGATAGACAAGTATTAGTACTGGCTAATGAGTTTTATATTTTTATTTTACTTTTTAGCGCAATGCTTGGAGATTTATTATATGCTTATGAGAATCGACATAGTAAAGTGTCAACATTTTTTTTTAATACATATATGGATAAACAGGAACAATAAATAGAATAGAAAATTGTTGTCCACGGTCCTCCCAATTAATTATTGACATATCATTCTCTGTATGTGAGAGAGTATTTAATACTAAAATTGATGATATGTTAATTTAAAATGATATGTTGATAATCAATTGGATTAATGATACATTTGATTGCAAAAGTTGGACAGCGGATCTCAACTCCAATAAATATTAGCTCATGACTAAAGGTACCTTATTATTTGCGTTAAAATAGCTGTCAAATTACATTATATTTAATTACAATAAATATTATCAATCTTTGTTTATTTTTGTACTTATGTCATCAACTTTTTTCATCGCATTTGTATTCTTGACCTCATATTGAATTGAAGTGTCTACTTTTCTCTGTTAATGGTTTTGGCTGTTGTTGGATACACTCAGGTTCATGTGTGAATTATATTCACATTTTATCATTTGCACTATTTTTTGCCTTCTACTTTCAGACTCTCAACTTTTTTCATTACATTACATTTTATTTTTCTCTCTCCTATTTTCAACCCACAATCTTCCATAAAATAATATTGCACATAAATCGAAATTTTTTCCTTATTTTTCAACCATTCATTTTTTCAAAAAAATACTATTTCACAAAGGGGGGCTTAATGTGTGAAACTATTAGAAGATATTATTTATTGTTTTGCTATCTTAACATTTTATTTGCATCTAATTGATTAGCAGGTACTTTACTTAGCTTACGAGTCCTGGGTCCTGGTCAAACAAGCTTCCGAAATGAGCCAAACATGTGACCCCCCACCCAAAAAAGAAAAAGAGGGCAATTGTAGAAAAGTGAGATCAAGCATATAAAATGTCGCTAAAAGTACTATAGTTTTAATTCCAAGAGATTAGGGATCATCAAACAGTACATTAGTACAATCTAGATTATATTATGATCCTTGTAATCCAGTTAAATGCATGAAGCCAAGGAATGTTGATTACACAAGTCACAAGTGTTGTTTAGTGGAGCATCCGCTTTGGCACCGCCTTCGACCTTTTTCCTTTTTCTAGCTAAAGTATCTTTTATGTATCATAACATGCACTTATTATGTTTCATGCAGGCATTTGCAAGGATTGAGAACCATTACTTCATGAACAAAGGATTTTTTCCTTCAGACTCGTTCTTGTTAGATAACATTGACAAGATAAAGCACATCAACACTGTAATTGTTCAGGTACATGCTTCCTTCACTTGACTTTACCCTAAATAACTGCTATATATGTACTCTTGTATGAGGTATTTATTTAAGGAAGTAAATGGCGTGTAAATTTTATGCTCTTCTGTTGCTTGAAAAAGAATACTTGATGAATAATGCGTTTAGTCAGAATTTTGAGTAAAAAATCTCATATTTCTGAGGTGTAGGTGTTAATTGAGAAATGGGGACCAGAAGATTCAAGCCAAACCAAGCCATTCAATATAAAAAAGATCATTCTTAATTCTGTTTTCACATTATAACCTCTGTACATGAGTTTTCTGCGCACACATAGCTTGTAGTAGGTTTCTAGAAAATTAGAATTTATAATTAAGTGAAGTCATTCTCCCTCTGACTGAAACGATTAGGAGTTTATTCGAGGTACAACAAATTATATATTAACTTAAAGTTAGATAGATTTACAATTTTAACCGCTTTTATTTACTAGAAGTTCTTCTAGATTAACTGGAATTCTTTTACCCTATTTTAGGGACCCTTTTTTTTTTTTTTGGTTTCATTTTGACCTCGTTTTTTTATTTGAATCATTATTTGATATTTCTCCACCTAAATTCTTCTTATGTCCTTCAATTTGGGTCTCTCTCTCTCTCTCTCTCTCTCTCTCTCTNTTTTTTTTTTTTTAATGACAAAATATTTCTTCATAACTTTGATTCACTAAGAAGTTGGAAGCATGTTTGGCTTAGCTTTAAAAATTCTTCCTACAATTACATAAGTTTTAATATAAATAGTTCTTGTATTGTGGTCAAAGTTGAAAATAACTAAGGACTTACCTTTTTACTGGAACATAAGAAAAAAAGTACCATATCCAAACATATTTATTTACTCAAACTTACTTAAAAGACCATATTCAAACATGTTTATTTACTAAAACTTACTTAAAAGTAACTTTACTTTTCTTAAGCTTTACCAAACATGTTATCAACAAGTTGAACAGAAATAGACTTCTCTTAAAATTGTTTACTGATAGTTTGTAGTGCCTCAATAATTTCCTGTGATACTATTGAGCAAGAAAAACAGTGAATAAAACATCCAACCTAGGATAAAACACCTAAACTGCCATAGATTTTCCAAAAGTTTGCTATCCCTAACTATCTTCCAAGATTTCTCAAAACTCTTCCGATATATTTTAGTGGCGTACTAATGAAATCCCCCTTCTCCCTTGGAACCCCTGTCCTCAAGGGAGGATTTACTAGTAGATTGGCACATGAAATCATGTTATGTCTCATTGGAAGCTCTAAATTGGCAAAACTGGAACTTGAAACCTATTAACAGAACGAAATCACTTCTCCCAATAAGCAACTAATGTTAGCTCATAATTGATCTCCTACTAATAACTTGAATAACCTTTAGCTCTCCTAATGTCTTTAAATACTTGGCCAGAACACTCCACAATTAAGCTTAGGTATTGGAACCGAGTTCGGTTGGAACCTTTTATGAAAAAAAACTTCCCTTGCCTACTTTGATGTCACCGTATCTGAATTCAACTTGTTACACAGTTTTCTTGCGCGTGACCACATTTATGGCCTTGATGTTTTGATTCAGTATGAAGGATAATTAGTACTTTGCCAACTTATAATTTCTCCCAATGTTTCAGGTTGTTCCAGATGCTGGACATTCTGCTAATGAGTCGGGGATATCAGATCAATTGGTTGCTGCAACCAATAAATTGAAAGACATCATCAAGGAAAAGTGAAGCCAAAATTTCTAGCCATCTGTTTTATCTTAGATCCTACTATAGTCTATTTTCCATTTATTGAGTTTGTAATCCATGGCAAGATATCGACAACTTATTAGGGGGGCATCCTCTCAATTCTGTTTCATAAACGTGTTGAAGCTGCGTGTTCGAGTACTCTCGGTGTTCAAAAACTCAGCATATTCACTAATAGGCTAGGATTAGAGATGTAAAGCTTGTGCACAGGGCAGACCACAGGCCTTAATACTCGGGTGCAAAAGCAGCCGGCTCACGGCACTATATTTTGATACAACTTGTTGCACATTTTAACAGAAATTTCTGAAGAAGCTGAACCATGAAAATGTGGAACATACAACAGAACAACTAGAAAAACACTTAATTAGTACATAATTGAACATACAATCGTGTTTGATCTTATATTCCTGCCACAATTTGTTTGCACTTGGAGGCTATTGATGTTTGGCTCCTTCGCAATATTCACAGGCCTTCTTCCCCGAGATGATGACCGGGAAGCACCAGAAGCTGTACCGGTGGTGCCAAGACCATTAGCAGTCATGTTTCTTCCTTTTTTGTGTTCCGAAGTTTCATATATCACCTCAAGTGGTCGACTAGTAGTCGAATATGAAATCATCTTCCTCGTTGAAGTAAGCCTGAAAAAATTGAGATTCCTCGTGTTATTCTAAAAATATAATTCCTTTTGAGCCAAGGACACAGAATTCTCTCTCACCCTTGATGCTGAACCTGCTGTTTCTGTAGAGAAGATTTAATTTTCCTGAAGTTCTTTAAGCTTTGAATTGTCTTGCCTTCAATTGGGGAAGTCCTAGGTTTTGGCTCTCGATGCTTTAAAAGGTTAGGTCTTTGTGGTGTTATAGTTGCTGCCGTTTTGAATCTCACTTTCTGTGAAACATTATAGTAGAGTTAATGTTTGAATTTTTGAATGAAAGAAGAAACCCTCTGAAAATAGACGTACTTTTGAATCATTTTGTCGAACTTTCTGTGCTTCTTTTTCTCTGCCTTCATGCGTATCATTGTTGCATTTGTTACGTTGTTCAGGATGGTTTTCATTTCTCTGACATGATCAAACAAGATGACTGGCGCATTAGTAGACAAAAACATCCTAGTTCGAGAACCAAAAAAAGAAAAAAAGATGCTCACTTGATCATTCCCTTGCTTTCTGTGCAAATTTGTACCTAGTGTTGTAGAAACTGCACTTTCGTTCTGAGGTAGTATATTATTTTTCCTCTCCAAATTAGCTTCTTTCAGAATCCGTCTTTCCTGAAATTGAAAATTTGTTAGATTTCTCCATATTGAGACAGTTTTTTCACAAACATAAGTGCTGGTGGATTTATTTACATCAGTTCTTAGTCGAAAAGGTTTTGGGGTTGTAGGCTTCGGTTTCTTGAACTTCGTCACTGGATCAACAGTTCCAGAAGACTTGTCCTTTGCCTGAGCAATCTGTGTCAACTATGTACAGCCATCAGAAACTGGAATGGAATATGGAAAAAACTTAGGACATTCATTATGGACTACGAAGAAGAAAATTGAAACCTTATGGTGAACTTTTCCATGAGCATCTTGAAAGCCCAGAAATGTTCCCTTCATCTTCTTCTGATTATGATTATGATCATGAGCTCTGTAGACAATGTAAAACTAATCAATACCAGATAGAGACAAATCAGTAAGTAGATAAGCTAAATACACAGGTGAAAATACACACAGCCCTCAAACCTGTTCTGATCAGAAGCTGCAGCATTTTCTTTATCATCATTTTCAGTCAGTTCAGTCCCTGTTATGAATT